AGAGAAATGTATCCACAGATTCTCATTCATTCCTGCACTCACTATTTTAGGATGTGGAAACAGGATGGTTTACTTTCCTGCATTCAGTACTGACTTTAAAACTGGAGATTGATTTTCACTGTTGTAGCATAGTGTTGGTTTTCTTGGTTTCTCCATGTTGGGGTAATACTTATTATTTCCAAAATCTGAATCAATTGTTTGTCTATATTGGCGAGGAAGGCAGGTGGGGATGATTCTTGCTCTTCGCTGCCTTCTCCATCAGTGGTAGCTAGTACCTGCAAAGGATGTAAGTTGCCCTTAAGTGTTTATAGCCTTGGCAAAACTCATCATCTCCAGGAATCCTGAGATTTGAGGAGGGAGAAGGGGAGAGAATAATACATTAGTTCATACATTATGACCATAATGTTTGTTTTAGCATGTCACAAATCATAAACCATTATTTATGGCTTAACATGTGTAAATCAAATAAATCAGATGACTTGATGAACAGATCTAGCTTGTTCAACAAATCCTGTTTAAAACAAGTCATGGCTTGGTGTACTGTATGAACATAGTCATTGAATAAGACAAATGACCTAACAGTTCATGGAAAATGGCAAATTCCTAAGAGAAATAGAAGACAACCTTGTAATAATGGTCTGTGTAAAATACAAAGGTTTGATTGATTGTTTTCCATGTGATTCTAATGATAACTCTTAGAAGATACCCTTCCCAAATTGGGAACTGTTATTGTAAATCTAAGAATTATTCTCTATTAGATATGCAACAGCTCTTGTTCATCCAACTGGCCTTCTGTGGATCCTTGCATTGGTCAAAGTGCTATAATAACAAAGTTACATAGTCTCTTTGTAGTCTAGAAGTTTTAGTCCAATTTTAGATGCATCACTGCTTAAATTGAATTAATGCCTAAAAAGAGCCTAGATTTATATACTGCTAGAGGAAGATCATATGCTAGCAGTAGATTGACTAAGACATGCTAAGCAGCATATACAGCTTTGCTGGGGAACTAAAGCTTGCTTGAAGACTACTGTAGTAGAACTTTAAACTACATTCCTCGCTGTCAGTATTTTGTATCAGCTTGTTTATAATTGATAATATTACTGGATAAGATTTGTATTTCTTCCTCAAGTACACATGCAATACACAAATCTATATACAAATACATAGCTTATAAAAATAGTAGCTGTTTTGTTATCTACTCTCTGTGAATATAATTTCAGAAGACAAGAAGGAGCAGAATGTGTGTCACTTCAGGACCTATAGAACCTTCTCCCTTTTTTCAGCCAGAAACTTTGATTTTAACAGACAGTTGAAGGGGATAGAGTATCTGTGATATCCAGATGTGTTAAATCCAAATTTATATCATCTACTGGAAATGATGTAAATTTATATTAATCATGCAGACTACTTTGAATGTTAAAGACTTGTCTGTTATTTGGAGGGATGCAATCTGGTATGTTGCGCTGAAAGTCCAGTAAAATGGGATCCATTAAATCATGGTTTCACTGTAATCTAACAGACTTTCAGATATAATACCAAGGGTTCAAATTAATATTATTTTTGCTGCAAATAGGTTTTTATTCAATTTATTTGTCTTGAGATTTGCTTATATATGTCCCCTTGTTATTGTTTAGAACCTGGTATAGTTGCACTTCTGATATTATTATAAAGCATAATCCTTAAAAGTAGAAGAGCTACAGGCCAAAATATTTCTGAATTTATATGATATAAGTAGGGTTATAATGCATACACTGTATCCACTTGACCATAAATGTACTATGATTTTCTCATTCAGAACAAGCAGAATCTTCAATCCATATGTCAATCTTCCTATTAGACTGCAATTTCTGTCATTCCTGGGCAAGCTGTCTGAAATTAAAATTGTACTCCAACACATCTGGACAGCACCAGATTGGGGAAACCTTGTTTATACTCATAACTCCAAAAAGAGATTCACAACATAATAAAGTTATCATCTGTTATCTTCTCAGGTAGCTTCACCATTGAATTGCTTTTGTGTCCTGTTTCTGAGATTCCATCATTTCTGTTATTTTAAGTTCTTTTCCTGTTCCCCTCTCCAAATCTGTTTTTCAGAACACATATAGCATATATAGGAGATACTATTTCTACACGTTCCAGTTTTAAGCAATCACTCCTTCTAGACATCAAGAGGATCCAAAAGTAGAAATATATTCCTACCAGTAGATGATGAATTACAAGTTTGTTTATTTACTAGATTTATAAGGCTGCCTGACTCAATGTGATTGTGATGACACCAATAGTTTTTCCTTTTACCATCTGTATTTTTGTTCTGATGGAAATTTGAATTAAAAGCTTGGAGTGATAAAAATATTGCCTCAATATGGATTTCAGTTTTTCTTAATACCTTGGTGAAGATGGTTGCTTTTACACCTTCAGTCAGTTTTCATGTTCACGAGGGTTTTTCAGTGTTCAGGAAACCAGTACCAGCTCTATGAAGTTAACGGCCTTCTGCACTTTTCTCAGTCTATCCTGGCAGGTTTTTAGAAGGGAAAAGTATATTTCTTGAACATGTGTTGATCCTGTATTGATTCTGTTGATATATCCTGACATTCTCCTGACATATCCTGTGTGTCGGTACACTAATATACTTTCTAGTTCGTGGGATGAAGGCAAGAGTATGTTAATTTGCAAGGTAGTTTCTAAAATTGAGATCTCTGCTTGCATGGAATAGCATTTTTCCCTCTCTCTTACTCTTGAGGAGTAAGACTGGCTTTGCCCAAAGCCCTGTTCTCAGCAGGGAATGCTACATATGATTAGTGAGAATGGAAAAAATAGGTAAATTTGGGGTAAAGTTATGTAACAACGAAATGCAATCTAGTGGAATAAATTATTCTGCTAGATGGTATGAATGAATGGGTAGGAGTGAGATGAGAGAGTTCAGAAAAAATGATTAGGCCATTCAGAGACTCAAGGATAATTGATAACAGTGATTGTATAGTCAGTATCTGCTTAGAAAAAGGTCTGTTTTGAATTTGTGATTTAAGTTTATTCATACATATGGCAAAGGAATATAAATCTAAAAGTATGACTGGTTTGATTGTTTATAATGAAAGATTGAGTAAAGTATACAAACGGCTGACCTTCTGAATGATGGGCAGACTATTTCTTGATAGTGTCAAAGAATCATGGGGGGAAATGGATATGGAAGAAAAAGGAAAAAAGTGAAAGAAACAACTGAACATAGAATGACTGCTGGGATGAAACTGAAGTGAGGGTATGTTGGAAAGAGTATTAGAGAGGTATATATGGGAATGAAAGTGATATATCAAAGATTGGAGTTGAAATTATATATCTTAGCATCCAAGAAAACACTAATGAAATGGAAATAATACATGCTGTGAGAATCTTAGACTAATAAGACTGCAAGAATAGCTGGTGTCACTAAAGAAACATTAAAATATGGATGTGGTTAGGCAGCGTTTAACGTGTGTGAAGCCTGCACCTGTGCCTAATATCTGGAAGAATGCCATTATTGTTCCCCACAGAAAAGGAAAGGTAGCAAAAGTGAATGCCAAAATTACAGGAGGATTAGGGTGTTCAGTGGGCCTGGGAACAGGTTTGACAGAATTCTGATTCAAAGAAGTGGGAAGTGTAGTATAGTTTTAGGCTGGGCAAGGGATATGCAGCCCAGCTTTTTATTCTTCAGTATGTTATTGAAAAAGAAAAAAAATGTATATGTCTGTTTGCTTGGAGAAAGCTTATGATAAAGTAAATTGGCTTGAATTATGGGATATTTTGCAAGAGTGTATTGAAAGTTGGTTGTTGAATGCAGTGAGCATTTATACAGTTGAAGTAAAGTCTGTGTGAGAATAAATAAAATGCTTAATCAGAGTTTCAGCATTATGCAGGGGGTATAAGACGTGTGATGTCTCTTAGTTGTTTAATATGTATATGCATACACATAGAAGGAATGTTTGTGGTGATGTTAAAAGATATGTTGGTTGAGCATGTGAATTTTGTATACTTTTGTACATAGAAAATGCTTTGTTGGCTGAGAAACTGAATGATTTGTAACAAGTGCTAAATTGTACAATGCAATGAGTTTTGATTTGAAAATTAATATTTCAAAAATAAAAGTAGTTTTTTTACAGAGAAAATGGGATAAATGATT